AACGGCAACCCATTTTGAGAAAAAAAAACTTAAGAAAAACAAGTAAAAAACATTAAGTTCGGTCGTGCCGAATTTTTAATACCTTCCACCTTAGGTTAAAGGAAACATTAGAACCCATTATGACCCACAAATACCAATTTTTAGACATATTCGTGGGGAAATGTGGCAAAAATCATCAAAATATCGAATATCGGGAAGTATCGCTTTATGGACTATACATAAATGTGAATATATACATACAACGTTTCGCCACACAAACTAGGACCCATTATGACCTACAAATACCTATTTTCAGACAAATCCGTGATAAAATGTGGCAAAAATCATCAAAATACTGAATATCGGGAGGTACCGTTATATGAGGGTTTTACCAAAGTGTGGACCCATGCATACAATATTTTGCCACACGAACTAGGACCCATTATTTCAGACAAATCCGTGATAAAATGTGGCAAAAACCATCAAAATACCAAAAATCGGGAGGTACGGTTATATGGGGACTATACCAAAACGTGGACCGATATATTTCATTTTCAATACCAACCAGACACAATACAAATTGTTCTGCTAAATTTTAATGCTCTACGTCAAATAATGTGGGCTGTAACGTGATTTCGACGTACAGACAGACATACAGACAGGCGGACATCATTAAATCGTCTTAGAATTTTATTCTTATTATGAATATATATACTTTTTGGGGTCTACGACAAATATTTGGGGATGTTACAAACGGAATGACAAAGTTAATATACCCTCCTTTCCAAGGTGGAGAGTATAAAAATATGTTGATTAGACTTCTAAATGCTGAGAACTTTTCTGCATTGCGCCTTATGGCCAGACAACAATGCTTAGAATGACATTTGCAATAAGAACCCGTTGCTGTAGTTGTTTTTCATACACACAACATGTGTTATTGAGTTTCAGTTAGAGTTGGAACAAAATTATTGCTCATAATTGCCAAGTAGTAGCAGAAAAAAAAAAACACCAAACAGCCTCGGGCAACTGGAATCGAATGGAAATTAGCAACATGTGTTTTTTTGACATAATACCACTTCAGCACAGCACAGAGCAGAAAAGGAACACAGGAGAGAGGGGGAGAACGAAAAAAAGTCTTTAACAAGAATGTCAATTAATTTAACTAACTGCAAAACGATTAAACAAGAAAATTTATTATAATTTGAAATATATGATTGTTGGTGGCATGTCAAACCAAGGAGAGAGAGAGAGAGGGAGAGTACCAATGTCATGAAGCCTCCGTTGTTTTGTTTTTCTTCTTTAACTTGTTTAACATTTGCATTGAAGGTGTTAAACATGGTCAGTTCAAGCTGTCATCATGGTTGTGGGCCAAATACAAGAAATACGAAACTGTTAATGCAGCGCTTGGAGTAGGAGTGATTTATGACTTTTTAAATGGATGAAGTGGCCTTTTTGGTAGAGCATGGTTTTGTTACTTCTCACGTTTTCCCCCTCCCAGACATAACAAAGTTATGTTAGTGTAATTAGTGCTACATAACTTTGGCTTGTAATGGAAAATTAACAAGGCTATAAGCATTTGCTAAAATTTTTAATTTATTACCATTTTTTGCAAATTAATTTTAAAATTTATTAGCCACAGAGAAAAAAAAAACTTTCTTTGAATTGAGTGTTTTTTTTTTCAACAAAAATCCATAATAAACCTTTATGTTAATTTATCTGTGTTTTGTTTTTATTTTGGTATATTGAAAGGTATTTTAGATGGAAATTTAAAATATTTATGTGTGTGCATACTTTCACTTGTGCATTTCTTTTGGACATTCGATTAGATATTCAAAACAACTTCATAAAACAAAAAAACAAAAGCCAAACTAATTTGTGGACATTCTTGGCTATGCACACATATATATATATATACCTCTCTCTCTCTCTCTCTCTCTTACCTTGTCTCTTGTGGGTAAAGCTAATTTCAATTTAAGATTAATGACTTAGCGATAAGCTGATGGAAAGCTAATGAAAGCCTACATATTTTGTTGCTGTATGTTGTTTTTTTATTTTTTAATTTATATGTTACAGTTAAAAAACTGTAATTATGATTATGTTGTCTCTTTTGGTTTTTTTTAATGGTCAACTTGATGATCCCTGCACAAATATTAAGTCATAGGAATTTGTCAAAATCCGTAGAGTAGAAAAACATAATAATTTTGTTCATGTTATAGCTCAGGGGCAGTTATGATCGTGACATATTACATGGTTTAGGGGGAGGGGAAATTATTTAGAGAAATATTTTAATAGCTTTTCATAAAGTGTGAATCATAGAAATTGTTGTGATAAAAAAATTAAAAAAAAAACAAATAAAAAAATACTTGAAAGTTGTTGTGATGAAAAAAATAAATAAAATAAAATAAAAAAATACTTGAAATAAATGGGGGAAAACGAGTTAAATAGAGGCAACGAATTTCGTCAAAATTTTTCAAATTTTTTATTTTTTAATTAATAACGAAAAAATTAGCAGCGCTCAAAAAATGTTCCTGCACAGCTTAACGATTACTCAAGACTCATTATACCCTCAGCAACAGAGGGGAAATTTTATGTCATACGACCACAACGTGCCTCATCGGAATAACGGTGCTAGACCCTAGTTCTCTTTGCACCAAATCCGTTTCAGGATATTTGGAGTCTATCTAAGGGTGTTGGTCCGCCTGGCTGGTTCGCTCGATAACTCTCGAAGGGAGTATACGATTTGAATCAAACATGGTACATCGTCATATTATTGTCAAACTTAGCTCATAGTCGGAGATCGGTAAAATTGGTCCACACCTTCTGGTACCACCCCCGCAAAAGTCAAAATTTTCACAGAAAATAATTTATCTTTTAGTACAAGAAAAGATCATCCAATTTTGTTGAAATTTGGCAAATAATAATATTTTTATCAGTGTTAGGTCAGGTTGGAAAATGTAGAGTATCGGCCTACTTCATTCGGTGTCTGTCCCACTAAGGGTCAACATTTTATAGAATTACCACTCTCATGAAATGTGAAGAGGTAAAAGTATTGAAAACTGTGACTCTTTGTGGGGGGCGGTACCAGATATATATTATCTTTACATCAGACTTTTTACTAATAAAAAATATTGGGAGTGTGAAATTTGAAGAAAATTGGATTTTATTTCACGTTTAATGATAAATATAAATGTTCAAAATTTTTACGTGCTATGGGGGAGATGCCAAAAGGAGTGATACGATATGTCTCATACCAGGTCTTGTGTAAGAAGAAAATAAAGAACCCGATTTAGCGTACTTCAATATTCCTACCAACACAAGATCTGGTATAAATAACGAATAGAATGGAAGACTCATTTTGGTGACTCCCCCAGAGAAGGGTTAAAATGTTGAATAACCACCACGTACGTAAAACGCAAAATAAGCATTCGATTGCTTTCAAACTCAGCACATTCCAACATTTATACTATCGCAAAATTTGGTGGGAAAATGAAATATCTTCTCCACTCCTTCTGGTACCTCCCCCACAAATTTTTGAATAATTATAACTCTTATAAAATGCGAAATAAGTATCCGATTCTTTTCAAATATCCCACATCTCCGTATTTCTTTCAACACAAGAGCTGGTGTTGAGATAAAATTAATTGGCCCATACCTTCCGGTACCTCCCCCACAAAAGGGCAAATTTTTGAAGAACCAAGATGCTCATAAAATGCGAAATAATTATCTGTCTATTTCGAAACTTCACACATTCCAGGATTAAAATTAAATCCAAAATAAGCTTGGTATTGTTGTCTGTAATATTGCCGTAGACACAATGTACCTAAAATAAACGAATTCAGTGTAATCTTAATCCGAAACATTTTAAAGCGTGAAAGAGGTAGAACTTGCCCCTCTATTTTGGTTACTTTGTGATGTAAGTTTTCAAAACGCCAATACATGTGTACTCCATTCTATTTTTAGCCCTACTTTCATAATCTGCTAGATTGCTTCCATTAATAATGGGATTTATGAGATTTAACCCTCTAAAACTCACCTGAGTAAATGGCAACTGCTCCGAATTGGCACCACATTTGCAAACGCTCTGCTCGATGACACGCATGGCAAAACGTCTGTGGGCTATGCAGGCTTGCGATTCACAGGAATCACTGTCATCTGACGATATGTGCGAATGTACACGATGCAATAGCAATTCAAAACATTCGGCAGCATCTCCCAAACAGCCCAAGGGGAAACGGCGACCGGCCAAGGGGCCAGAGGCCAATGCACGACGTAGGGGTTCGGGACACAAGGCCGGCTCGGAGCTGGTTTGTAGTTGTTGGAAAAGTTCCTGGGAAAATGGAAAAAATTAAAATTAATATTTTTTTCACGAAATTAAATTAAAAATAAAATATATAATTTCTATTACAAAAAATGCATTGTTTTCATATGCATTATATATTTTTTAGTTTTATTTTTGTCAATTTTTTAATAAAATATTAATATATTTTTCTAAAATTAAATTAAAAACAATATATGAAATTAAATTAATAATCAAATATATATTTTTATTCATGAAAAAATGGATTGTTTTCATATGTGTGTGTCGATTTTTAAAAATAAGGGATGGTATTGTATATATTTAGTAGTTATATTTTAGTTTTATTTTTGTTATTTTTTAATAAAATAATAATAATATTTTTTTTATAAAATTACATTAAAAACCATATATATTTTTACTTTATTATTATTTTTAATTAAATACTACATTGGTTTCAAATGTGTGTCTGTCGATTCTTTGAAAGTTTTTTTTTTAATTTTTATTTTTACTTTTATTTTTGTTAATTTATTTATTTTTAATTTGTTATTTTTTATTGTTATTTATTCTTAATTTTTGTTTTATTTAATTTCACTGCTTTTTTTATTTTTTCCTTCAAATACTTTTAATTACTCCTTATTTATTTTTATTTATCTGCCTTTAATTTTTGTTTTTTTTTTATTTACTTTATTTTTTTTTTTTTTTGCATTAATTTTTAATTTTTTTCTACTCACAATTACAGCATTAATACAACGATCTCTCTCCGCAATACTCTCGGGACTTAAAATAATACCACTACTTAAACTGCTGCCAGCTGACATTTGGTGGGATTTCTGTTGACCATAACCCATGCCGGCCAACTCCGCCGTTGATGCCACCTTGGCCAATGATGGGAACAGTTTACGATTATTTTGTAGGGTATTCGATTGTCGCGTCAGCGTAGCCGATTTATGGCCATCTCTGGGATCCATCATAGCCTTCTTAGGGGTACTGCGAGGCAAAGTACCACCCCCACCACCGGCCGATAATACCATTTGACAATGCTGCGGATATTGTAACATTTGTGACGTCGAGTTCACAATGCTTATGGGGGCACTTGTCACCAATTGTGATGACATTGGTGATTTTAGGCCCGACGTTGCATTACTACAGCTACTACTCTTCTGCAGCGGAATTATGGATATGGGTTTACAATTCTCTTTGCTCTCATCGGGTTTGGATATGGTGGAAATGGGTGAATTATTGCCATTATGATTGTTGTTGGTAGCTGTCGATTTGGTTGGTGTATTATTGGGGGACGAGTTGGTTTTATCCCCTCCAACAATATTTGTTGGCTCTTTACGTTTATAACGAAATTTAATCATTTTATTTAGAATTTCTATAGGCAGGTTTGTAATGTGCGTAAACAATGGGTTGGGGAAACCTATTAAGAGGTTTCGTTTATGGATTTGTGGGTTTCCTCGGTATTATATCATTTTTTTGAGAAAATGTTGGGTTTTAAAAATTGCTGTAAACGAATTAAATAAATATTTGTTAAATTTTTGGACATGTGTTCCTTGGGAAAATAATCCAAAAATATTGATTTTGTTGCTGTTGCATTACGTTGATCAAAATTGACTGATTTATACAAAAGACTTAAGACACAAACGTGAAAAGAGAGGATATATCAAAAAAGGATGGGAGACATAATTTGTAGGTCTCTCGTTCTTTTTCTTCTTTTTTTATAGAAATTAAGTCTAAAGGAAGAATCTGACTTGCATTGAAATTTTGTTAAATTACAAGTTAAAAAGGCAAATCCCAATTTTGACTTTTAGTAGATATATTTCAAATATAATTTTCACAAAAACAATTGTACCTACATATATAGTTTATTCTGAGATTTATGGTGAAATTTTGTGAAGAACATTTCATCTTTTGGCATCTTTAGCCTAAAACAAAATTTTATGCAAATTTAAGCGTCAACTCGAAAAAAACTAGGAAAATTTATAAAAAGGAAAACACAAAAGTCTCACTTTTAGTACATAAATTTCGAATGTAATTTTTATAAAAACTATTGTAACTAGATGAATGATTTATTCTGAGATTTATAGTAAAATTTTGTACAGAATATTTCTTCTTTTGGTACCTTTTGTCTAAAATGAAATTAAGAGCTTATTTCAGGCGTCAACTCAAAAAAAGTACGACGAAAAATTATTGTGAAGGCAAAAACATAATTTTCACTTTTAGTACATAAATTTCGAATGTAATTTCCACAAAAACTATTGAGCCTATATGTATAGTTTAGCCTGAAATAGACAATAAAATATTGTGTAGAATATTTCTTCTTTGGGTACCTTCTGCCTAAAACGAAATTTTATGTAACTTTCAGGCGTCAAGTCGAAAAAAGTCAGAGAAAAAATGTATCAATAAAATTAGGAAATATTTGAGGCTTTCTCTGGGAACATTAATGGAAAACTTTTTTGAATATACAACGGTAATAGAGGTTTCCTTTCTTTGGGAACTTATAGTGAAATTTGATGAGGAATATTTTTGTCTTTAATGTCATCACTCTAAACTATTGCTTAGTTGGAGATTTTTGCATAAACTCACAGAAAGTACAGGTTTACCCCTAAAATGTCACTTTAGCTTATATAAATATCTGGCTGTTAGCTAAGATTTTGACTTTTGATGTCTTCTAGTATTTATAGTAAAATTTTGACTTGCTTTGATCCCGTTTAAAAATTACATTACACTATCCAGGGGTTAAATAAAAAATCCGAAGCAAAGTTTATAAAAAAAGAAACAACTTTTTTTTGAGAACTTTAATACAAATATTTTTTTGGATATGCAATGGAAATATAGATTTCTTTTCTTTGGTGACTTATAGTGAAATTTAATGAGGAATATTTTTGTTTTTGACGTCATCTTTCTAAACTTATGCTTTATTGGAGATTTTTACATAAACTCACAAAAAGTACGGGTTTAACCCTAAAATGTCTTTATAGTTTATATGATACCTGGCTCTTAGGTAAGATTTGGACGTTTGCTGTCTTCTAAGACCTATCGTAAAATATTTAACTTGCTACAATTCCGATTAAATATTCTGTTAATTTTTGGCGTAAAATCGAAAAAAAAATCCGAGAAAAATTAAAAAAAAATTAAATTAAATATTCTTGTTTTTTTTTTTTTTTTTTTTTTTTTTTTTTTTGGGAACATTAACGCACATTTATTTCGATACCCATTGAAAATACGGATCTCTTCTCTTTTGTGACTCATACTGAAATTTGATGGAGAATATTGTTGTCTTTGATGTCATCTCACCAAAGTGATGCTTTGTTGGAGATTTTGGCAATGTCATTTTTCGTTTATATGAATTTCTGACTCTTAGGCAAGATCTAAAATTTTGATGTCTTCTAAGGCCGTTTAAAAAATACGTTACTTCAAGGCATAAAATCGAAAAAAAGTCCGAGAAAAATTTTCTAAAAATAAGGAAATAGTAAATATTTTCATGTTTTTTTTTTTTTTTTTTTTTTTTTTTTTTTTTTTTTGGAACATTGAAACAGATATTTTTTGGATAAATAGTGGAAATAGAGATTTTTGTTCTTTGGTGACTTATAGTCAATTTTAATGAGGAATATTTTTGTCTTTGACGTCATCCTTCAAAACTGATGCTTTGTTGCAGATTTTTGCATAAACTCACAAAAAGTACGATATTGACCCTAAAATGTCTTTTTTCGTTTATATGAATTTCTGACTCTTTGGTAAGATTTAAAATTTTGACGTTTTCTAAGCCTATAGTAAAAGTTTGACTTGCTACGATCCCGTGTAAAAATTGCGTTACTTGCAGGCGTAAAAAAGTCCAAGGAAATTTGAAAAAAAATATATTAAATTAAATATTCTTCTTTTTTTTTGGGGAACATTAACGCACGTATATTTCGATATACATTGGAAATACAGATATCTTCTGAAACTGAAATTTGATGGAGAATATTTTTGTCTTTGATGTCATCTCAGCAAAGTGATGCTTTGTTGGAGATTTTTGCATAAACTCGTACAAAGTACGATATTAACCCTAAAATGTCGTTTTTCGTTTATATGAATTTTAGGCTCTTAGGTAAAATTAAAAATTTTGACGTCTTCTAAGGCTTATAGTAAAATTTTGACTTGCTACGATCCGGTTTAAAAATTAAGTAAAAATTCAGAGGAAAACTTTCTGAAAAAAGGAAATAGGAAATATTTTCAGGTTTTTTTTTTTTGGAACATTGAAGCACATATTTTTTGAATAAACAGTGGAAATAGAGATTTTTGTTCTTTGGTGACTTATTGTCAATTTTGATGAGGAATATTTTTGTCTTTGGCATCATCCTTCTAGAATGATGCTTTGTTAGAGATTTTTGCATAAACTCACATAAAGTACAATTTTAACCCTAAAATGTGTTTTGGTTTATTTGCATAGCTGTCGCTCAAGTAAGATTTAGACTTTTGAGGACTTCTAGAACCTAGTAGAATTTTATGGCAAACAATTTTGTAGAATATCTTGACTCTCCACGATCCATTTATGGGAGTTTTTAACCATATTTAAAAAAAAAAAAAACTACAAAAATACCACTTTTTGTCTACTCGCTTGAGGGCTCCAATTTTTGATCAAAATAATCCTTATATTGCCTAAAACACTGTATACCTAAAATCAACAGATTCCAAAGAATCTTAATCTGATAATTCCAAAAAGTGTGGAAATGGGAGAACTTTCCCCTGTCTATTTATGTTACTTTGCGATGTAAACTTTCAAAACGCCGATAAAGGTGTCTTCTATTTTTTAGCACTACTTTCATTATCTGCTGGATTGCATCGTATTGCCAAACATTTTATTAACCTAGAATTAACGGATTCCAATGAGTCTTTATTTGAAAATTCTAAAAAGTGCGGAAGAGGGGAGTTTTCCTCCACTATTTTGGTATATTTGCGATTTTAACTTTCAAAAGGCCAATAAACGTGTCTTCTATTCGTAGCTCTACTTTTATAATCTGCTGGATTTTTTGTGTTGCACAGTGTTA